GTTGTACTCTCGTTATACTGATGTAATATGTAAGCCAGTCTTCGGACGGCCCACCCATTTGAACTAATAAAGTGCCAAGGGCCTAAGTGGTCACCTCAATATTAAAAAAAAAAATAAAATAATAATAATAATAAACTATTTAATATTAATAACTGGCTCAATCTTCTTAATAAGTTATCCAACAATCTTAATAAACCATCCAACAATAAACCATCCAACAATGTCTCTACTTATTGTTTAATTTTTTTTTTTTATTATTTTTTGTTTATTTATTTATTTTTTAATGACAATACATTCTTATTTTTATTTTTTAAAGCTTTATTTATCATAATTAATACAAATACAGTCATCCTCCTATACAATCACACAGTTGGGCACATAGTAAATTTTTTTAAAAATGTGCATATAAAGGGATTGTGCTTATATAGAGGTTTTTTCTTATAAATTAAATCATAGTTTGGCCTAAATAAAAATGGGATTACATATAATGTGATTATATGGAAGGTGACTATATGAGGGACAACTGTATAAATTTAGCTTTATATATTTTGCTAAAGTCAAATTATCATCTTTGTAATTGTATAAAATACTTGATATATATTAAACTAATTCTTTTACAGATTGTTAATATACTTTGATAATAAGATCACTTGAGTATTGTATTTGTTACCATTAAAAATCTGAAACGATACTGTTATTTTAATGCAAACTTCAATAAACAATATCTTAAGTGATAAATTGTTTTGCTTGCTTATATTATTCTTATTTTATTAACCTGCAATCTTTTTCATCTTTAGCCAATATTACAGTAATCATGCTCAAATTTATCTTTAACATATTTATAAATTTATATTTTAGAATATATAAGAAAACTACTTAGTATTTTTTTTATATTTGGAATATTTCATAATCTGATACTGAGAAGTGATATTTTCATTTGTATTTTTAATTGCTCTTTTATATGAACCATATCCATCATATTCACATCAACATCATTTATCTTGATTAAAATTACTGTACTCGGACTGAACTATTTGTTACAGAATATGTTTCAATTTTCTTTTCAACCCATGAAGCAATTTCAACTGCATGTCGCTACTGGGTGATTTGTACGAAAATATAGATGTTATACGATAAGGCAACTCGCCAGAGGCGTGACGACGGTGATTTGGGTCATATAATAAAAGAATTTATTATTGAGGTAGTGAGCCTATGTGCCCTTACCTCGCATATAAGTGTCGTAACCAACCTTGACTAAGTTAGGCCGGACCAATTTAATTCGGTGATTTACATTACATTCCTTTCTCAAAAGAGGGGAGGGGTGAAAATAGAAAGACATAGTAAATTTTAATAAAATTTTTTTAATTGGAAATTATCGGCCTGACCTTGCTCGTCTTTTATGTTTCATTTTCTCTTCGGAATTTTTCGGATCCTAGTCTTAATTTCAGCCGACATTATGCTCTCCAGCCAAAACCATATATATATCCTAAAATTTTTTTACTAAGAGGGGGTAATGGTCCGGCCTTACGTCCTTTTTTATGACTTTAAAAGTCTTAAACATAACCCACCTTATTTTATAGTGGCCTTATTCTTTATCAAAATATCGGCTGATAAACTCTATAATTATCTACCGGTTAGCATCCGCAGTTGAATTACGAACCAGTTTGTCTATGATCTTACTTTTACCCTGCGATAATATACCTCGTTAATGACAATTACCTGCTCTAAATTCATTGGTAAAAAATAAACTGCGGATCTTAAATACATTTCTCTATTAAATAAGTAACTTTTAACGTTAAGATTATGGTAAATGTTACGAATGACTTTAGGAGGACAATATATGTACTAAAATTTTAAGAAAGCAGTTTTTAAACAAAATCTCGTTATGTCGGTAGTTCATTTTCACGTTACACCTTATCCTGTGTCTTGATTGGTTTAAATCAAGTGATTCAGACTTTTCATGTGGTAATTATGTATACCTTATTTAGCCGGCATAACGCCAAGTGACAATTTACTAAAAATATATTCCAGCAACTAATCAAACGCTAGCCATAACCCTATGTGTTAATGAAATGATTGTCGGTGAAGCAAGTATAGTACCACTTAAAAATAATACTTCCATGATTAAGACCCGGAATTAAAATCCCAGGTACTGTACGTACGTCGTACGTACGCACGTTACACGTAGTTCTTTTGCACATACATATTTGTTCCAAAACGTGCACTCAGATAAATTTGGTTTAGAAAAAATTGAGCCACGTCTAAATGATTAGTAACGACTTGAAAATTTTTATTGTCAAACAGCCATTCCGGTCAACTATGCTTGATAGGGTACTTTCTCCTGGAAAAATGGCGTAGGATTACTTAATAATTTAAATTATTGGTATTAATCCTATGTTTTAAATCTAATTTTATAATTGTTCTGGTTTTAAATTAAAGCAAAATTAAAGCAAAATGAAATCGAAAATGAAAATTTTGTACCAATTTATTTTCGAAATGGAGGATTATAAATAATTTTCGAAAATTTTGTGTATCAATATTTCAAATTTGACATTAGTTCGGTGTAGTGATGCCTGACGAAACCATGTGATGCTAGCTATTACTTATAAAAAATCAAAAATAGTTCGTTGATTTTTATATATTGCACCATGTGACAATTAGCATCACATGGTTTCGTCAGGCATCACTAGTTCGGTGCGCATTTTCCAGTGGTTACCAGGGTTGGGTTATGACCAGGTCATATCAGGTCATACCAATAAGTTTAATTAATGAGGTCATATGACCTTACTAATTGAACTTATTGATATGACCTATTATGACCTGGTCATAACCCAACCCTGGTGGTTACACCTGAGGATTTCCATTAATTCTATTTGCATCACAAAAGTGCACACAATCTGAAGCTTAGTATTATATGCGTAATACTGTAGAATGACATAATAGGGGGGTTTAGAATTAATGATTCGGCGTCCGATTTCAGATAAAATAAGTGACGTATTTATTTCAAAATAAGCAACGTACGAATTCTATTTTTTTTAAAGTATGTACTTATTTACATAATCGTTTACCGATGAATGTTTATATAAAAAAAAAGCCAGGTTTATCACCGGCTATGCCTATTTAATTTTTTGATTCGGAATTCTAAAAAAGAAAATAGGTCCTTTTAAACTCCCACTTATTTTGAAAAAAAGGTAATTCTGAAACCCCCTAATGGATTCAAATGCCCAAAACTACGTTTTTTATAATTTTTGCTAGAGATATATTTAAAATAATTTCGGCCATCAGAATGCTCATGACCTTCAACTAAGTATATAATAAACAGTATATGGGATCTTTGCTAGGAAAATCACCCTTCGGGATTTTCCGATCAGGCTAATTCGGAAAGTTTAGACCAGAATGCCAGTTCTTAATCATATGTAAATCACCTTTTCTTTATTTATTCGATAGTTTTTTAAATAAACTGTCGAATCAGTAAAGTAAAAAGATGGTTTACATACGAATTAGAACCGACATTCTGGTCTAAACTTTTCCGAATTGGCCCGATAGGAAAATCCCGAAGGGTGATTTTCCTAGCAAAGATCCCATATGCGTACTATATATGTGTAAAGTGCTACGTATAGAAATTATGCAAGTCCTCAAAATTAGGTCGATATTATGGTATAAAAATGGCAGTCGGTTCGCTCCGGAATATACGCATGCAACACACCAAAAAAAGATAAGATTTTTTGAATAATTAACCAAATATTTTTATTCTATATAATTTCGGTCATTCGGAAGAATTGTATGTAATACATGCTGGTTCTGTTACATAAAAAAGATTTCGATCTGCATTCTCGAATATTCAATAATTATAATAAAACAAATAAGAAATCTTTAATGTCCATATGGTTACACGGTAATTAAAATTTCTCCAATTAATCCGATAATAAAAAAAATATATTAAAACACTCTTTTTATCTATAAATTCTTGTTTAAAGTTCTCCACGGTCGAAGCGCTTTATTTTAATAATATTTTTTCAGGATGTTTTAATAAGTGGGATAACTCCGTTAAAAATATCCGGGAGATTATATAGTATTATTTTGTATAATTGATAGATATACATATATTGATGCGCATAATTTCAAAATACTTACTGTATATCTCCCGAAATGTCATCTACAAACAGTTCTAAAAAGAATCATCCGAACGATGATAAGCAACCTGCCTCTGGGAATAAAATAACCAAAAATTCTTCATCTTGCAATTTTTGTAGAGAAAAAAAGGTTAGGTGCGTCTATTTAAGCGGTGGTCGATGCAAACAGTGCATTAATCATAACCGCGAATGTATATCCGATCCACAAAAAAAAAGGGGACCTAAAGGCCCCAAAAAAGCAGCTGGATCGAGTACACTATATAGAACTAATTTAAATTTAGAAAGCTTGGGCGAAGCATTTTTGCGATCTCTAGAAGATGGTCAAGCTTTACAGACCTTAATTCAAGAAACTCGGTCAAACATGAATGCGTTTGGAATTTCTTTAACAACAAATAATGAACAAACATTGCCTAATTTGGAAAATCTTTCAAACAATGAAGGAACTATATTTAGTGGAAGTTCTATTGGAAGCTCTCTAGCAACCAACGATCAAAGCGGTTTAGGAATAAGTAATGTGCAAATATCATATAGTTTAATTCAATCAAATCCGTCAAATAGCGACCCAATATCAGTAAATTCAACTCAAGAAACTTTGCCAAGCAGGAATTTTTCAGCTATAAATAACGGACAAATGTTATCCCCAGTAATAGACAACAGGCAAAATTTCCTTAGAACTCGGTCACCTGGGACCAGTAGACAACCTTCACCAATTCGTGAGAACCGACAAAGGAGAAGAGAAGACAGAAACCATGAACTTGGAGTTGGCTTGCACGGAAATATTTCTAATCCAAATTCTTCACGCTCACCAAGCCCAATTTGTTTGGGTTCATTGTATTCAGATAATTGGCAACAAAATTTGCCAGTTTCACAATTCCCAGAAATAACTCTTCAGGATTTTGCAGATTTAAGATCACCATCTCCTATAGATTTATCTGAATTTAGTGACCAAGTCTATTATTCCCCGGACTATACGGCTTACCCATTTCCGATCAATTATGGCACATCAAATAATTCATCTAGTCGATCATCACCTCTTATTCCTTTCAATGCAAATCCTCAAGCGATGTCAATGCCATTATTGGGTGATGCATCACCTTTTATCACAGATCCTCAAACGCCAGTGTCGTCGATTAATTCACCTCTTATCAATTTCACTACGGACCCTCAAACCACGTCAACGCTATCGCTTGAATTAGAGAATGCATTACCCTTTGTCAATTTCATGTCACCGCTTGAATTATCACCTTATGTCAATTTCAGTACGGACCCTCAAGACACATCAATGTCATCGCTTGAATTAGGTGATACGTTACCTCTTGCAAATTTTACCACAGATTCTCAAGCCACATCAATGTCATCGCCTGAGTTGGAGGATTCGACATCTCTTATCAACACCACCACGGATCACCAAACCATTTCAATGGATAATTCTGAAGAAATTAACTCATACTTATCAATTCCGCCACAGAATTTCATGAATCGAATGAGATGACAAATTCCTATAATCTAAGTGAACATAGTGGAGGACATTTTATGTTAATATAAATCTTCAGCGAATTTGGCGACTATTCTTTCGACAAGCAATGCTCGCCTTCTAAAATCTGATTTGTCTTTTTTTTTAAAAGTGAAAGAGAGACGAGACTATAAATACAACAAAAGATGATAATTTTCAAGCAAGCATTAAATTATCGTCATCTTCAGTTGTAGATTTTAGTTTTTATCGGTATTATTTTTATTCGTATCGGACCTGATTTCCGTTTTATTTTATTTTTTTTATGAACAATATAAGCTAAGATGAACATTTTTGTTTTTTTTTTTGCTTTTTGCTTTTTTTTTTTTTTTTTTGTTTGGTTTGATTTTTTTTTAAGTTATTATGCTAATATAGATATGTTTTCCCGGCTTTTATACACTTTATTATAAGGACTTTAATATTCTAAAATAATATTTCAAACAATGATAAAATCAATAGAAACGATAGGATATAGAACTTTCTCTTTTTTATTCATTAACAAAAAAAAATTTTATTTTCAAATAACATTTTTTACACCAACCGTAAGAACTTTTTAGACAAGGCATTCATTAAGTTCTTCCTCTTTTATTCAATAGACAATATATTTTCTTTTTCATATAAATTTTAAGTTTATTCCCTCTTTGATTCGCCATCTAGATTTTATGCATTTTTTGTAAATAGATTGTATATGTATAGAGCTTTTTTTTATATTGTAATATTTTGACATTTTTTTTAGTATGCATATTTTTGACATTTATTTTTAACATGAACTTTCTTTTTTGTGTACACATTTTTTTTCACACTTTGAACTCCATCTTTTGCGAGCTTAATTTTAATTCATACTTTGAGAACACGATCCTAATTTCTCCGTATTAAATTTACATATCATCATCTCTTTGCTCACTTATTTTTAGGTTTTGCTTGTTAAGTTGAATGTATATCAAAATTTATTTCGAAAGATCCTTTATTACATATAAAATCTTTTTGTTTATGACTTTACTATTTTTGTATTTTGTAACTTTGTTCTCAAAATTTATTCGGGTTACCTTTTTTGATTTTTTTTTTTTTGATTTTGATTTTGATTTTTTTTTTGATTTTTGATTTTTTTTTTTTGATTTTGATTTTTTTTTTTTTTTGATTTTTTTTTTTTTGATATAGGGATTTTAGGTTCTACTTAATTCATTTTACCATAATACTGTATTATTAATGGGATGTTAGATCTTTAATTACTATGGTTTAGTCAGTCGCTTGACTAATTCAAGTGGTTCTTAGTCTTTAAATGAAATTATCAATAGTTTTTTGTGTCCTGCAACTGTTAATTGAAAATAAATTATATAAATACGCGTTTTGTTAGAAGATCATTATACTATTGACTAAGACAACTTGAATAAGAAATTATAAAAGAATTAACTTCGACTAAATAAAATATGAAATTAAATGAAATTAGAGCTGAAAAATTTTAAATATGTCAATTCGATTTCTTTTTGTACACTAGTGTATGAAACACGGGTATAAACATAACTCAAAATTTTGCTTACAAAACCACTTTGGGGGTTCTAACAAAAAATAATCTACGCAAAATTTTAGTATAAAATACTCTCTAACACTAACCTCTAGCCTTAACCCTAACCCTAATATTAAGTAGTTTTTATGAATTTTATATTGTCACGGGCTAAAAGATGGATCTGGCCCAGTAAACTCGTGATTGAAGTTGTTAATATTAATACTGGTTTATCGGTTAAGGCTTATCGGCCGAATAAGAATAACCGACGCTAAATCCGAAGAACAAGTACGCGTAGAAGAACAACCGAAAATCAAGATAGAGTGCAAGTGGTTGCAATATTTCATATTGCAAGAAGCGAAGCAAAACCTTATCTATCATTATATGTTGTAATTTATCATTGTAAGCTCCTTACATTAGAGATAGTTTTCTTGATTCTTTAATGATGAAATATGAATTTGCCTTGAACTCGTTAGAATAGAAAAGTTATAAAAGCACTGTATTTTCTCTCTTGTAAAAGAATATCCTACGGGATTCCAATAATTCCTTCATAATACCTTTAATAAACCACCTTGATAAATTCCTTTAATAAAATAAATTATTGGCAAATCACCAACGTCACGTCACGCCTTTGGCGAGTTGCCTTATCACCTAAAATTTTATATTTTCGTGTATAAACTAATTAAACATACGATATATTACACGGATTTGCAAATTAATACTCACATACCACTGGTGTAGATTTAAAAATTTTTTTTTTCTTATTAATAAATAATCATTTGAATTATGGTGAGAATTGACTCCCAAGACTAATTCAGTAATTTAGCATGATTAATAAATAAGAAATTAAAAAAGTTATATTGAATACTTAAATTAGTGAATATGTAATATACTTAGTGATCAATCAACTTGCTTGAAAAATAAAAGTAAATGGCTTGTTCGAATAATAATTGATCACCGCAGTCGTCCAAAAAAATACGAGAAGTTCAAATTTTTTGATGTTCTAACGTATAAATTTTTTTTTTTTGCCTCAAGTTTAAAATTAAAAATCGTAAGAATTTTACCGGAGATTTAATGACATTTATTAATAAAATTTTTTTAAAATTTTCAGATATTTACTATTTTTACATTTTACTTTAAAACAACTGCGCAACATAAGTTTATATAATAAAACAGTATTTAAATTTCTATGAACACAAATTTTAATATGTTCAAGCTGCACATTTAAATCTTTATTTTTTTATATGATTTGCTGTGACCTTTGGTTTTAGCATGTCCTTTTATTGCATAAAGGCGTCATTTTTCATAATCATTGTTAATGATAATTGGTTTAATAACTTTTACTTTCGCTCAACGCTCTTCACTGTGAATTTTAATAGAAAAAAAATAGCAGTAAAACTTAATTACTATCAGCTGTTTATTATCATTGTTATTTTGATTAAATATGATGAATCAAAAAAAAAAAAAAAACAATTGACAGTGGCGCAGTTAATGGCCCAATTACCCAATTATTGATATAGTCGTTTAAGCCTATTGACGACGCTCACATGTAGAAATAATTCTCCTACTATTCCACTCCGACCTAACGCTAAATTTTTGCCGACATATCCAAATAAATGCATTTCCGACATATCCAAATAAATGCGATTAACGCCAATATATACTGCATATAATGCAGTACTGTACTTCTTGTAGAACGTTTTTTCAATAAAAGGTTTCCAATCACAGCACAGAATAAATCACAGTTACAAACTTAAGTTCGTATGTATTTTAAATAACATTTATAAGAAGTTGATTGCATTTAACTAACCATTTGTAATATAAAATTTTTTTAGTACTTCAGTATTGAACCATGTCAGAATTACCAGGTAAGCTACCATATCGAATAAGGCTGGATAAATTACACCTCTTAACATCCAAATTTCATAGATAATCCCCCTGACATATGAATAACCATCATAAATTCTTCTTGATGTACATGTCAAGATATATGCGAAATTAGGTGTAAATCAATGTTGTATGGTTTTCCCTATTTTACAGCTATTTTCAAAAAAGGTGTAACCAGGTGCGTGACATTATATTATGAGAAATCTATACGATTTCCCTGATTTTCTTGATTTCCTAACCAGTGAAACCGGGAAATCGTGCGATTTCCTACAATATAATGGTATATGTCTGGTTACACGTTTTTGAAAACAGCAAGCTAAGCCAAAATATTTTAGCTTAGCAAATTTATTTCGGATTTTGAAGAGTAAATTTGGCTGTAACACTAGTATAGATATATATTTACATAATTCCAATATGATGTGAAAGAAGATTGAATAAATTTGTCCAGTTAATAATATAATTTTGATGCAATGTTCTAATATCAATTTTTACATAATATTATATAGTTGTTGCATATTCAAAACGGCTAGAGAAGTACTTGAATGAATACAATATACAAAATTTTTGTCATTCTGAATTTAGCGATCGCAAAGTAATTGGACAAGGAGGATTTGCGGTTGTGTACTCAGCCATTTTCCAAGGAACAAAGTATGCATTAAAAAGTCTAAATAATAATATAGTTTTGGATAATAAAGCGTTCAAACAAATTAGAAACGAGGTAAAACACCATTTGTTATTCGGTATTTTGAATATTTTATATTAACGAAATAATAAAATGCACCTCTACAGATTAAAAGTCTTTATAGCGATAAGATTAATCATCCTAATGTAATCAAGTTATATGGGTTCTCTAGAGGTAATAATAAAGACCCAATTTAAAAAAAAAAAATTTAGAAATTTGATCACAATTTGCCTAACAATTATTCAATGGTCTTTAGATCCATCAACAGATAATTTCATGTTAATTTTGCAGTATGCGAATGGTGGCGATCTACGGAAACATTTAAAAGAAAAACAAAAAGAAAGCATCTATAAAATTTCATGGCCTGAACTCATTAAAATTGCTAAAGAAATCACTTCAGGGTTAGAACATTTACACACCAATGGCATCATTCATCGGGATCTAGTAAGCTGTAATTTTAATTTACGAACAAATTTCTGAACAATATTTAATTGCAATTACAAATAACAATAGCATTCCAAGAATATATTGATGGATAATGGAAAAGTCTTGATCACGGATTTTGGGTTATCAAAAAGATGGGGCGATAACACAGCTTCTGAATCGAGTAATAATACAGCCGGCGTAATGGCATATGTTGAGCCACAGTGTTTTATTCAAAATGGAGGAAACTTCAAACGTAATGAAAAGTCTGACATTTATAGCCTGGGAATATTACTCTGGGAGCTTACAAGTGGAATTCCTCCATTTAAAAATTATAATTTTGTTCACCAAGTTCAGGCGATCTTAAAAGATGAAAGAGAGAAGATAATTCCCGGTACGCCTTCAGATTATGCAAATCTTTACAAAAAATGTTGGTCATCTAATCCAGACCAACGTCCAGTTTTAAATGAAATATTGACAGAACTTGAAATACTATCAAATTTATCTATTATATTTATGATAAATAACATTGATGTCGAAGATCAATATTTATCTAAAGATTCGGTTTTTTCCAATTATACAAATACAAATTATGACTCATCAAATAATTCATCTATAAACCGTTCTAATAAGAACCCGAACGATGATAAGCAACCTACCTCTATGAATAAAATAACCAAAAATTCTTCATCTTGCAAGTTTTGTAGAGAAAAAAAGGTTAGATGCGTCTATTTAAACGGTGGTCGATGCAAGCGGTGCATTAATCATAACCGCGAATGTATATCCGATCCACAAAAAAAAAGGGGTCCTAAAGTCCCCCCAAAAGCAGCTGGATCGAGTACACTATATAGAACTAATTTAAATTTTGAAAACCTTTCAAACAATGAAGGAACTATATTTAGTGGAAATTCTATTGGAAGCTCTCTAGCAACCAACGATCAAAGCAGTTTAGGAATAAGTAATGTGCAAATATCATATAGTTTAGTTCAATCAAATCCGTCAAATAGCGACCCAATATCAGTAAATTCAACTCAAGAAACTTTGCCAAGCAGGAATTTTTCAGCTATAAATAACGGACAAATGTTATCCCCAGTAATAGACAACAGGCAAAATTTCCTTAGAACTCGGTCACCTGGGACCAGTAGACAACCTTCACCAATTCGTGAGAACCGACAAAGGAGAAGAGAAGACAGAAACCATGAACTTGGAGTTGGCTTGCACGGAAATATTTCTAATCCAAATTCTTCACGCTCACCAAACCCAATTTGGTTGGTTTCATTGTATTCAGATAATAGGCAACAAAATTTGCCAATTTCAGAAATAACTCTTCGGAATTTTGCAGATTTAAAAGCAATGTCAATGCCATTAGCATGACGGAAGTCATATTTCATTGGCTATCACGTTTAATGATTTTCATCAAACATGATTGGCTAAATACGAATGTTACATAGAACTTATTATAGCGAGTAAAGATATGTCATATGGTAGCATACTAAAAATCTTATTTTCTTTTGTAAAACTTTACTAGTTCGTTCTTCAATCATAATGCAATAAAAAACTAAAAACACATCTCTATGATCTGGGCTGATCCTGTAACTTTTACAAAGTGCAAAGTTTATAGCAAATAGTATTTTATTATTGCATTTACAATTGCATTGAGCTAACAGTTCCGTTATATGAATATTTTTTATTTAGGTTTCCTACTTACCAATAGTTTATTTGGTTGAGTTCTGCCGCCAATTTCGTTGAAATATCCGACATTTTCTCTGTCTCCTCCGAAGGTTCTTCATTTTCTTCTGTTTCAACATCTTCATCAAGATCTTCTTTTGTTAATGTATCCGCACCTTTTTCAATTCGGTTTAAAAATGCATTCACGTTTTTGAAAATACCCTTTTTGTAGAATTCTTCACAATAGGTACATTTTCCGTTATAACAAGCATTATGATAGCCATGTCCACATACATATACTACACTGGTATGATCAACAAGTGGAAGTTTGCAACGGTCGCATGCTTCAGGATGCGGTGGGTATGATGTACTATATGCTGTTGGCAAACGTCGCAAATCTACTTCTTCATCTAACGTTGCCAATTTGTATGTTTCAGGGTTTTTTTTTTTTTTTTGTATTATTAATTTTTGGAACACTTTTACCACGATTGTAATACATATTACGAAAATATTGTAATAAAAAAATACTGGTTTTGTCTGACAAAAAATCAAGCATTGATGTATTATACGGATATCGTCGTGTTTTGCAATATGCATTTTTGAATGCAAGATCATGATCCATAACAACGAATGCTTGCTTTATTATATTATTAACTGTTGAATTTGGAGATGTATTAGCCCTAATGCGACTATGAGTGTTCTCAACATAATATTCATTAAAACATGGTAAATGCTCCCATATTAAATCAAAAAAAGGATTGCCAATATCTTTCCAATAGAATAAATCCGATAAAAAAATCAGTGGTGCTTTATTATAGTTCTTTCTTTTCCAGCGTAAGGCAAATGTCCAGATGCGGAAAACTGTTTCTACATATTCATTGAACAAACCTCCCCGAAATAAAATTGCATAAACGTCAAGTGTCGAAGGGACTAAATTATCAAGCAGGTCAATTGCAGTTCTATATTCGACATTCTTACAGGTTTGACCAAATCTATTCATAATTTGGTTCCTAACCTTAAGCCAACCACTTCATGCTAATTCCAAAATAAGGTTTATTCGCCAAGGGCGAGGTTTTTTTGCCAATTTCTTGTGTTCGCCAAACACAGAATGAAATAGGTTTTCAAAAAAGGAATGATGCACTAATAAAACCTGCTCCCGGCTATTTAGTGACAGGTGAAGTGGGCCCAACATAGGTATGAACAACTCAATATTCGGAAATGACATTATTGTATATAATGCTTTCCTTATAAAGAGCTGACCGGGCCAGTCAGCAACAACTGGTATAACTTAATTATTCAAATAATGCACGTTTTTATTCACTGATAAAATGAGCTTTAAAGCATTAAGATAGTCTTGCACTGAATGTAAATGCTGCTCTTTGATTCCGATTAATTGAAGTCCATTCATTGAACGTTCTTCTTTTCTTTCCATAATATGATCGTCATAATTATGCAATGTTAAATTTTCAATTCGATCAAATTTATTTACAGTTTGTTGTATTTGTATGATCCACTGGCTTTCCAAATATGAAGTATCAAATGTTCCAGTATATTTATTTATTAAATACCAGCAAATTTTCAAAGCATCAAGATTTAACGGGTTATGTATCGACATATTATTGAATTTAACTGGTAATGAATAACAATCAACAGGTTTTGTGACACAGGTAGCAAAGTGATTTGCGGCTGATGTTGATACAGTGTCTGGCCTTCGAATTTCGTGAATAGAATGGTAATTGTCTATATTATAGACATGAAAAATGTTTTTCTAAAAAAAAATATTAATATTAATATATATATAACATATATTAACACTTTATTTATTAAAATATATAACATTTACATTGTCCAAAAAATATTTCTCAATTTTTGCCGCATGTTTTTTTTTAATATTATTTCGAAATTCTTCTACTGTTTTAGCACATGCAGAATATCCTAAGCTTACATTGTATCAATCGCCTCCCATGTTGCTCCCGACGCCATTAAGTATAATCCAACTTCTATTTTATGCTGGTTGACAAATTTATTTCGTAACCCAGCCAGTGTATAGCATAATCCAACTATTGACTTTTTAGCTTCATTGATACTATAAGATGAGCGCTCCTTTGGAATTAATGTGCTAACCATATAATTAAAAAATCCCTTAAGTTGAGGGTCTGCATTTTCAATCATATGATTAAACTTTATAGGATCCAATTGCAAACTGACGCCTTCTCGACGTTGCTGGTGATACAATACTTTTGTTAAAGCTTGTATTTTCGAAGCAAATGTAGAATCTATATTTAAAAGAAATAAATACAGTATATTTAATAAAAATAAAATAAAAAGGATCAATAAAATATAAAATAATTTCCATGATTTGGTTGAGGAATTATTGGTTCCAATGCTTTAGAAAATAATATTTGAAGATCTTGTTGCTGGTCTTCAAGGGTCCAGCTTTGTATTTGAGAGGTTTGCTCTTGGATTTGCGGCAACTGTTGCTGAACTGACATTGGACGGTTTTCTTTTTGAGTTTGTATTTTTTTTAGTTTTAGTTTATTTTTTTTTTTTTGGCCTCTATCAGACTCTATGATTTTACAGTAATGTTGGTGACAAAGTTGCTGCCCAATTTCAAGGTAGGAATATGTTTCCAATGTTCCCTTCTCACGACATTTTCTATATGCAAGCTCTGTAATTGTACGAAATCCAACATTGCTAGATGTACAATTAATTACTGAGCAAGGACCACAATTCTTTTCCATAAATGTTTTTTTTTTTTTTTTTTTTTTTTTTTTTGCAAGTCACACTTGATATGATTGATATAGGCAGTAGGTAAGTAAAATGTTTTCCTACCACGATGTTATGAACTATAACGAAGCTTTAAACAAAACTTGATCAAGGTAGAATTTTAATCACAGCAAGACCTTATTTATTTAAAAACCTTGGTCACAGCGAAATCACGACGGAACCTTAATAGCAAGACCTTGGTCACGACAAAACTCTTGATTACAGCGATCACAGCAAAGTTCCAACCATCTAGCCACGGCAAAGATTTGAATAAACTTTGATTACGGCGAAGTTTTATTTATATCAAACTTGGTTACAACAACCACAACGAATTTTTACAACAATCAAACACTTAAGCTACAACGTTTACAGCGTAATGGTAAAAAAAAAATTTTTTTTTGATTAATATATGACTTAACTGGCCAATCACATTTTAACAAATTAGGATCTGCAAATTACACATTTGCAGCCAATAAAATAGAACTTCCGTCATGCTAATGCCATTATCGGATGATGCATCACCTTTTACTGGTTTTATCACAGATCCTCAAATGTCAGTGTCGCCGCCTAATTCATTTCTTATCACCATGCCATTTCTTGATGAATCACCGTTGGATGATGTCAATTTCACTACAGACCCTCAAACCACGTCAACGCCATTGCTTGAATTAGGGGATGCATCACCCTTTGTCAATTTCATGTCACCGCTTGAATTATCACCTTATGTCAATTTCAGTACGGACCTTCAAGACACATCAATGCCATCGCCTGAATTAGATGATACGTTACCTCTTGCCAATTTTACCACAGATTCTCAATCCACATCAATGTCATCGCCTGAGTTGGAGGATTCGACATCTCTTATTAACACCACCACGGATCACCAAACCATTTCAATGGATAATTCTGAAGAAATTATCTCATACTTATCAATTCCGCCACAGAATTTCATGAATCGAAAGAGATGACAAATTCCTATAACCTAAGTGAACATAGTGGAGGACATTTTATGTTAATATAAATCTTCAACGAATTTGGCGGTTATTCTTTCGACAAGCAATGCTCGCCTTCTAAAATTTGATTTGTCTTTTTTTTTAAAAGTGAAAGAGCGACGAGACTATAAATACAACAAAAGATGATAATTTTCAAGCAAGCATTAAATTATCGTTATCTTCAGTTGTAGATTTTAGTTTTTATCGGTATTGTTTTTATTCGTATCGGACCTGATTTCCGTTTTATTTTATTTTTTTTTATGAACAATATAAGCTAAGATGAACATTTTTGTTTTTTTTTTTGCTTTTTTTTTTTTTGTTTGGTTTGATTTTTTTTTAAGTTATTATGATAATATAGATATGTTTTCCCGGCTTTTATACACTTTATGATAAGGACTTTAATATTCTAAAATAGTATTTCAAACAATGATAAAATCAATAGAAACGATAGGATATAGAACTTTCTCTTTTTTATTCATTAACAAAAAAAATTTTATTTTCAAATAACATTTTTTACACCAACCGTAAGAACTTTTTAGACAAGGCATTCATTTAGTTCTTCCTTTTTTATTCAATAGACAATATATTTTCTTTTTCATATAAATTTTAAGTTTATTCCCTCTTTGATTCGCCATCTAGATTTTATGCATTTTTTGTAAATAGATTGTATATGTATAGAGCTTTTTTTTATATTTTAATATTTTTGTCATTTTTTTTAGTATGCATATTTTTGACATTTATTTTTAACATGAACTTTCTTTTTGTGTACACATTTTTTTCACACTTTGAACTCTATCTTTTGCGAGCTTAATTTTAATTCATACTTTGAGAACACGATACTAATTTCTCTGTATTAAATTTACATATCATCATCTCTTTGCTCACTTATTTATTGTTAAGAGACTAAATTTTGAATGTATATTAAAATTTATTTCGAAAGATCCTTTATTACTTATAAAATCTTTTTATTTATGACTACTATTTTTTGTATTTTGTAACTTTGTTCTCAAAATTTATTCGGGTTACCTTTTTTTTGATTTTTTTTTTTTGATAGGGATTTTAGAATCTACCTAATTCATTTTACCATAATACTGTATTATTAATGGGATGTTGCGATCTTTAATTACTATGGTTTAGTCAGTCGTTTGACTAATTCAAGTGGTTCTTAGTCTTTAAATGAAATTATCAATAGTTTGTGTGTCTTGTAACTACTAATTGAAAATAAATTATATAAATACGTTTTTTGTTAAAAGATCATTATACTATTGACTAAGACAACTTGAATAAGAAATTATAAAAGAATTAGCATCGACTAAATAAAATATGAAATTAAATGAAATTAGAACTGAAAAATTTTAAATGTGCCAATTAATAAATAAATAATCATTTGAATTATGTGAGAATTGAAATTAAAAAGTGATGAAAAATTTATATTGAATACTTCAATTAGTGAATATTCAATATACTTAGTGATCAATCAACTTGCTTGAAAAATAAAAGTAAATGGCTTGTTCGAATAATAAATGATCACCGCAGTCGTCCAAAAAAATACGAGAAGTTCAAATTTTTTGATTAATAAATGTGGTTATGTTCTAACGTGTAAATTTTTTTGCCCTAAATTTAAAATTTAAAAATCGTAAGAGTTTTACCGGAAATTTAATGACATATTTTTAAAATTTTCAGATATTTACTATTTTTACATTTTATTTAAATAAAGCTCTTTTAATAAAAGTTAGTTGCATATAAAAGCAAAATATCATCAATTCGATTCGAAAATTTTATTGGGCATTACTTTAAAACAACTGCGCAACATAAGTTTATATAATAAAACAGTATTTAAATTTCTATGAACACAAATTTTAATATGTTCAAGCTGCACATTTAAATCTTCATTTTTTTATATGATTTGCTGTGACCTTTGGTTTTGGCATGTTCTTTTATTGCATAAAGATTAAGTTTAATACTTGTAACTATTAATTACATATAAAATATTTCTATGTTGAGACGTTATTTTTCATAATTATTGTTAATGATAATTGGTTTATAACTTTTACTTTCGCTCAACGCTCTTCACTGTGAATTTTAATAGAATAAGAATAGTAGTAAAACTTAAAATTACTATTAGCTGTTTATTATCATTGTTGTTTTGATTAAATATGATGAATCAAAAAAAAAAAAATAGACAGTGGCGCAGTTAATGGCTGAATGTAGAAATAATTCAAGATTTTTGTTTTTGTCGATCAATTTTTTTTTCATATAAATATATTATATAAACGTTAAAACGTTATAACTCTTTTATTACTTAAGTAAATCTACTACCGTATCTTATGAGTTATGCATAAAATTAACGTGGCTTTAAACCTATGTTACCAAAATTTCAATTTACTTATAAAGTTTATCGATTTTCAAAGTGTAAATTGGTAAATTTTATAAGTGAATTGAAAATTTGACAACATAGTTTTAAAGCTACGTTAATTTTATACATAACTCATAAGTTGCGGTAGTAGATTTGCTTAAGTAAAAAAAGAGTTATAACGTTTTAACGTTTTAACATAATATATTTATGAAAATTCCATAGTGCGCCAATCATATTGTGCTGCACTATGATAGTAAATCATTTGGTGTGTAACACCCCATTCTCTACGTACTACGCAAATAAATCCCGACATGTCCAAATAAATGGGTAAATTCCGGGCTGAAGATCACTTCCGATCATAAATTTCGTAGATCGGATCCAATAAAATTACAGGATCTTGTGTAACAAACCAAACGCAAAAAACGTAAGAAAATGCAAGCATGGCCTTCTGTTGATTCGGAGGGGAATCTCCTAGTAAGTTAGGGGCCAAAGAGGAGGAAAACCTGTGGCTAGACGGTTATACTTGGGCACCTTAAGAAATTGTAAAAGTTTTCGGCACGAAATTTTAGTCATAGGAAATATTTTTATATACTAAATATATGGGAGATTTTTGATATACTACGACCCAAAATTTTTAGCCCGGAAGTGATCTTCAGCCCGAAATTTGCTTGACATCCAAATAAATAAATGCGATTAACATACTGCATACTGTACTTCTTGTAGAACGCTTTTTCAATAAAAGGTTTCCAAACTTAAGTTCGTATGTAAATGCCAACATTTGTAAGAAGTTGATTGCATTTTAACTAACCAATACTGTAATATAAAAATTTTTTAGTACTTCAGTATTGAACCATGTCAGGATTACCAGGTAAGCTGTCACATCGAATAAGGCTGGATAAATTATGCCTTTTTTTAACATCCAATTTTCATACATAATCCCCCTGTCATATAAATAACCATCATAAATTCTTCTTGATGTACATGTCAAGATATATGCGAAATTAGGTGTAAATCAATGTTGTATGGTTTCTCCCTATTTTACAGCTGTTTTCAAAAAAGGTGCAACCAGGTGCGTAACATTATATGGGGTCTTTGCCTTGAAAATCGAGTTACGGAATATAGTAAATCATATGTCCCATACTTGATTTTCAAGGCAAAGATCCCATATTATGAGAAATCTGTATGATTTCCCTGATTTCCTTGATTCCCTAACCAGTGAAACCGGGAAATCTCCCACAATATAATGGTGTATGTCTGGTTACACTTTTTTGAAAACAGCTATAATTGAAAATAATATTGGATTAGTGTTGCAAGCTAAACCAAAATATTTTAGTTTAACAAATTTATTTCGGATTTTGAAGAGTAACATTGGTTGTAACACTAGTATAGATATATTATATAATTCTAATAAGATGTGAATGAAGATTGAATAAAATTTGTCCAGTTAACAATATAATTTTGATGCAATGTTCTAATATGATTTTTACATAATATTACGTATATAGTTGTTGCATATTCAAAACAGCTAGAGAAGTACTTGAATGAATACAATATACGAAATTTTTGTCATTCTGAATTTAGCGATCACAAAATAATTGGACAAGGAGGATTTGCAGTTGTATACTCAGTCGTTTTCCAGGGAACAAAGTATGCGTTAAAAAGTCTAAATAATAATATAGTTTTGGATAATAAAGCGTTCAAACAGATTAAAAACGAGGTAAAGCACCATTTGTTATTCAGTATTTTGAATACAGTACTTAATATTTACGAAATAAAATGTACATCTACAGATTAAATGTCTTTATAGAGATAAGATTAATCATCCTAATGTAATCAAGTTATATGGGTTCTCTATAGGTAATAATAAAGACCCAATTTAAAAAAAAATGTTAGAAATTTGATCACAATTTGCCTAACAATTATTCAATGGTCTTTAGATCCATCAACAGATAATTTCATGTTAATTTTGCAGTATGCAAATGGTGGTAATCTATGAGAACATTTAAAAGAAAAACAAAAAGAAAGCATCTATAAAATTTCATGGCCCGAACTCATTAAAATCGCTAAAGAAATCACTTCAGGATTAGAACATTTACACACCAATGGCATCATTCATCGGGATCTAGTAAGCTTTCATCTTAATTTTAATTTACGAACAAATTCTGAACAATATTTAATTGCAATTACAAATAACATTAGCATTCCAGGAATATATTGATGGATAATGGAAAAGTCTTGATCACGGATTTTGGGTTATCAAAAAGATGGGACGATAATTCAGCTTCTGAATCGAGTAATAATACGGCTGGTGTAGTGGCATATGTTGAACCACAATGCTTCATTCAAAATGGAGAAAACTTCAAACGTAATGAAAAGTCTGACGTTTATAGTCTGGGAGTAATACTCTGGGAACTTACAAGTGGAATTCCTCCATTTAAAAATTATAAAATGGCTTTCCAAAAAATTCTGGCAATTTTAAGAAATGAAAGAGAGAAGATAATTTATGGTACACCTTCAGACTATGCAAATCTTTATAAAAATTGCTGGTCATCTGATCCAGACCAGCGTCCAGTTTTAAATGAAATATTGACTAAACTTGAAAGACTATCAAATCTATCGATTAAATTCATGATAAATAATATTGATGCCGAAGATCAGTATCTATCTAAAGATTCGGTTTTTTACGATGATACAAATTCAAGCTTAAAATCAAATAATGATATTGAAGGTAAACAATTCAAAGAGCCTATGATATTTGATAGCTATATACGATATTGCAATTTTACTTTAAAACACGGAATTTACTCATATGATGGCACAATTTCTTATTTGGGATTATTAGATAACCAAGAAAGTATTAACGATAAAACCAGTAATAGACAACAGACAAATGTTCCCTAAAACTCGACCACTTGGGACCAGTAAACAACCTTCACAAAGTCGTGAGAACCGAAAAAGGAGACAAGAAGTCCGAAACCGTGAACCCATTTCACGCTCTCCAAATCCGAATATGGCTTCAATGTATTCAGAAGATGTTCAACCAAATTTGACGTTACAAATCCCGATTTATTCCCCGAATCATACTGGGAACTCTTTAAACAATGGACAAGAAAATCTACCAAACGGAAGCCATATTGAGATCTCTTCAAAGAGCGAGCAGGGAATTACATCAGGCGGAAACTTGGTGAATGGTGATTTAGATGGAAACCATAGTGAACTAACGTTATTCCCTCAAGAAAATCCAAGCGTAAATTTTAATGATAATACTTTAATAATAAGAGACGAATCAATGTTATCAACGTTATTCCCTCAAGAAAATCCAAGCGTAGATTTTAGTGATATTACTTTAGTATGCAGATGGCCCTTCGGGCCATCTGTATCCTATGATCATCGGGAATCTCTGTTGTAATTTTTAAGCTCCCAAGAAATAAATAATACTAATACTTTAGTAGACGAATCAATGTTATCAATGTTATCAACGGTAAACGGGGATTTTGCAGGAGATTTTCTAACAAGCCGCGAACAACATTTCCTGAAGTTAGAGGTCAGAACCGGATATCCATTTATTCATACGGTTATATCCGTAATATTCGGATAATCATTAATTTTTAATTTGTAAATAACCGGATAAACCTTGTGAATAACCGGATAACTTTACGGATATTCAAATATTCACGGATAACCGGATAAACCGGATAATCCACGATTATATATCGAATAACTTATGTTATTATAGTCATAAATCTAATTAAACTCAGGTACGATGGGATTTTACACGTACGGATTTGGCTACCACATCACCAGCTTGGGCTAGTGACTTAAATATACAGTATAACTCGAATTTATTATAGTTATTAATCATTATTAATAATATATATATAATAAATTAAAGCTTTAATCGAAATTGAAATATTCTGCAGAGTCACGAATTGATTTAAGTCTAATCATTGGCTTGAGCGAAGAAAATGCTGCTTTGTTATTTTGTGATAAAATAAAACAATGCAGCGTAAATCACGTAATAAATCAATTAAAATTTGTATAAAAAGCCTAATTCCCGCCCTCTCTAATCATATGATCGAGGTTACAATTCCCACACTCCTGCTCTTGCATTCAAAAAGTACTCCATAAATAAATCGTCTATGAATTTAAGAGTTTGTTCCAATATCTTCTCGTAATCATTATTTGAATTGGTTGATAATTGAATGTCCAAATTTGAGATTTTGGCGTAGTATCTGAAATTTATTTGCGTTTAAATAATTAAATGGTAGAAGTTTTTTAATAAGATTACGCAAATAAGCAAATAATTAAATCTATCAATATCATATTTATATTATCGTGCGGTTTATTATACATACCAAAATTTTTATTTTCTGATCCACAAGCTCGCACAATCTTTCCGTTTTGCTTTATGTATAATTCCAAATCTCCCTTTACCAATTAGCTTATGAACAGAGAATTCAGAATAGTTATAGAATTTAATGTATCTTTCATGAATAAGTCATTCTTTCAAATATATCATATTTTAATAAATTATTTTTTTATATCATTGATATAAATATTTTCTGAAAGATTTTATTTCTTGAAATCTACATAGTTATAATGCTCAATTCGATATAGTAAACACCTATTAACATAGCAATCTTCTAGTATTTTTAATTATGATAATAAATTACATAGCATTCTCGATATAGGTATAGCGAAGAATTTTCTTTAGCCTGTGACTTCACTGTAATAAGAGTTACTTGAAACTCATTCTTGGAGCATAACATTTTGATTATCATTTTTTGATGTACAGTGTCCGACAAAAGTTTCCCCGCACCTATATCTCCTCATAGAGAGGTGCTACAGCCTTGAAACTTTTACAAAAATTAGTACGTACATAGTTTAGAGCGTGTGCTTTTTTTGAAGATTTTTTGATCACTAGAAAAAAGTTTGCATGAGAGCTAAATTTGGGATGCTTTTTTTTAAAAAAATAAAAAAATTAATTGAATTTAAAGAAAAATTAATATATCGTTAAGACTTAAAGTTAAAAATTCAAAAAATTAGTATATTAAAATTCAATGATTTCTATTGTGGTTAAAAAAAATTTGGCTCGATTTGATGAGATAATTGTTGAGAAATTATTTTTTAAATTTTTATTTTTATTTTTAAAAATTACAAAGTAATAGCTTTTTCAATTGAAACTTTTTCGATATCTAGTAATCCAAATTTAATGATTTTGGTATTATTTGAATTGTCTTGATGAGACAATTCTAATGATATCAAAATAATCAAATTTGGACCATTACAACATGAGATATTCATAAAAAAATGTTTGCAATACAAAAAGAGTTAGGTATTGACAAATCAAAAATAAAACTCAAATTTTAAAAATTAATTTCTCAATAATTATCTCATCAAATCGAGTCAAATTTTTTGCCACTATTACAGAAATTATTGAATTTTAATATATTAATTTTTAGAAGTTTTAGCTTTAAGCCTTAACAATATATTTGAATTCAATTGATTTTTTGGTTTTTTTTTAGGATGAAAAACGTCTAAAATTTAGCTCTTATCTAAATTTTTTTCTAGTGATTATAAAATCTTTAAAACATATACACTATCTAAACTATGTAGCTACTAACATTTTTGAAAGTTTCAAGATCATAGCACCTTCTATGAGAAGATATAGGTGCGGGAAACTTTTGTCGAGCACTGTAATCGGTGTATTTAAATATTATTTCATGTCTAGAAGAAATGAACTACTGGTAAAAATGATAAGATGTTGCTAATTCAATTCATATATTATTTTCCTAAACAATGCAAGAATTACAATGAAGTTTAAATTAGTAAATAAGAGCATACTTAAGAATAGTGACTCCTATTATATAATTGTACATATAAAAAACAAAAAGAATTATTAGTTTTTTTTTTTTCAGTGTTAAGATAACCTCTACGGCCTGGGGACTTTTTATTAAGTAGATATATAACATTTTACAGTTACAACAAGAGTACATATAGCCACACATGCACCTTTTGAGTGCCTAATTTAAGTAGTCCGCCCGAAGGTTCTACACTATCTGCCATACCTGCACC